CTGCGCAACGGCAGCGAGCACCATTCATTGTCGCTGTTTCCGAAGGCCTTGCGCGGTGAACTCGGGCTCAATCCGGATACGAGCTGTGCCTCCATGGGCGTCGAGGTCGGCAGCTATCAGCAGCTTCGCGACGCGGTGAGCTACCTGAAGAAGAAGGGCGTGCCGTTCACCGACGCCATTCCGCCAGAGCTCTATCCCGGCGTAGACTATGCCGCGCACATTCTCGATCCGGCCGGCCATTGCCTGATGCTGCATTACTACATGGAGCGCATCGGCTGGGACGGCAAGCCGCGCCCGGCGGAGCTGCGCCGCAAGGTTGGCAAGGACTGGCCCGAGGCGATCGAGCCGATGTCCGACACCTACGCCGATCAGACGTTCATGGGACCGTTGGGATAACGACGGCCCGAAAACAATGAATAACGGGAGGAGGACACATGAGACGCAGGATTTTGCTGATGTCTGCCGCGGCGGCGGCGGTCGGCGCCCCCGCGATCGCGCGAGCGCAGGCCTATCCCGTCGCAGACCATTCGCCTGATGCATGGCTACGACGCCGGCTCGAACCCTGACACGATCGCCCGGCATCTCAGCGTGCCGCTGACCGAGATCCTGGGACAGCAGATCGTCATTGAGCCGCGGCCGGGAGCGGCCGAACGGCTGGCGGCCAGCCAGATCGCGCGGATGAAGCCCGATGGCTACACGCTCTATCTCATGACGGGTGGGCAGGCGGTGGTCTCGGCGACCGACCGCAGCCTGAGCTACGATCTGCTGAAGGACTTCGACTTCATCTCGATCGTCACACGCTTCCCCTTCGTGCTCACCGTCGCGCCGGAGTCGCGTTTCAAGACCCTCCAGGCCTATATCGAGGAAGGCAAGCGCGAGCCGGGCAAGCTGACCTACGGAACGTCGGGCGTCGGATCGACGCTCCATATGGCCATGGAGCTGATCCTCGAGAAGACCGGCGCGAAGATGACCCATGTTCCCTACAAGGGTGGCATCGGGCAACCCTTCAACGACCTCGTGGGAGGGCGGCTCGACATGCACGTTGTGACCTTCTCGAACGCGCAGCCGCTCATGAAGACCGACAAGCTGCGGGCGCTTGCCGTGACCTCGAAGGAGCGACATCCGGGATTCCCCGACGTGCCGACGGTCGCGGAGACGGTCATCCCGGACTACGA